CCGAACCCCCCCAACTGACCGCCTGGACCGTGGCGGCGGGCTGCAGGAGAAGGAGCCTCAGTGGCCAGGGCTGGCATGGCCGCGGGCGCAGTCCCGGTTCACCCGTTCTGCACCCTACATTTCAACCCGAACAACCCCTCTGCCTGGTGCGGGCGCACCAGCTGCTCCTCATGCCCTTCGCCTCTCCTCCTGCCAGCCTGTCCCTCGCCCTCCCTCTCCCGCGATCCGCGTAGCGCGGGTGGCTGCGTGACGCCCTCAGCGTCGTTCTCCCCGCTGAGGGTTGCAAGCTTTCCTCCTGGCAGGCAGCACATCAGATGGTATCTCCCCCTCCCTCCCCCAGCGCACCAGCACCTGTGTCGCTTGTTGCCACCTGGCCGTGGTGAGGACAGCTCGCACCCCTGGGTGAGTCACCCTCTGCTCCGCTCCACTCCTGGACCGCCCTGGCGGCTGCGATCCCAGCCCTATGGGTGGGAGAGACACGCTGGCCATGGCTACTCACTCCACCGCGGGCAGAGCTGCTGCGCCTGGAGTTTGGAAACCAGCAGGTGTTTGGGAGTAGGGACTGGCTGCACTGGGAGAAGGAAGAGGAGCTACGTCAACCGCTGGAGGCCTGGATGGACAGGGCAGTCCGACTTATCCCCGTGCTGCCTGAAAGTCGGAGCCGAAGCAAGGTTGCCCCATGCTGATGTACAGACAGCTGCCACTTCTCTCACGTGAGAAGAGTCAATCAAAACTCTGTATGAATCGCACTGACTTGAATTATGCTTTGTTTTGATGGCACTGATCATGGCAGGAGGGCTGGTGAGAGCTCTGAAATGGATCTGTCACTGGGTAGGGCACGCTGAACAGCAACCTGCTTCCCAAGTAGCCAGCAGGCAGCGTGGTGTTAGCTGTGGTTCCTGTGCCTCCTTCAGGTGAAACCACTGCCGTGTACCGCTGGGCAGTTAGGAACCTGGCACGCCTTTGGCTTTGCCTAAAGCACGGCTTCAGGACTTTTTTTAACATTATCATTAAAATCAAGAGGAAACCAGCAGAATGAGTCATAATCCTCAGACTGGTGTATGGCCATTTGCCTTGGCCACATGTTTGAAACAGAATGGACTACTGAATGAATCCACGTGACAAACGATCGCACTCTCCTGCCATCCCTGATGTCAGGTAAGATGTGGACTACCACTAACACAAGGAGTCAAGATCCACAGCCTACCAAAGAACAAAAAGGAACAAGACATATTAGCAATATTAATACATAATCATAATTATTATTTATATTACAGCCCAGATATGCTTACTTTATTATTAAAATGATTATTTATTTATCCCATGGAAGTCTTTTTTTGCACAATTGAAACCAATAATTATTGTTTATAAAATGTTTATACAATCCAGTTTACTGTTTCATCCATTTCAGATTAGATAACTTTTCCTGATTGCAATTAATTCCTTTATATTGGCAATATGATTGTACATAGATAATTTTACAAAGCAATTAAGCCTTGAAAAGAGCTACAACAGAGCTGCAGAGCTTGGAGAACAGGACGAAGATGAACAATCTAACCAGCTTTTGTGCTTTGACATTGGCTCTAAAAAAATGTGATGAATTTTATGACAAACTATTCTCGTTAGTTAAACTTTCAGCCTGCAAGCACGTGGACAGGCTTTTAAAATTCGGTCTGTGTCTGAGGGCTTCCAAACACATCCTAGCTAGTTTCCTACGTTTGTGCTCCCAGCAGGATGTGCTCGTTCTAAGAAAGCTGAGACCTATGTCTTCTACTTAAAGGGAGCAGAAGGAGGAAGGCACCCAAAGGCATAGCATCGAGGCAGTCTCCAAGGAAATCTGCAGCATGGTAGTCAGAAAAAGATGATTCTTTAATTATTTAGCCAGCGTTGTCATCTTCTGCTTAGTAATCTACACGTTCCTAAAACCTGGACGTCTCAGATGGACAAATTTCCACTTGGAAAAGACAGGTCTGTGGCAGCTGACACCAGAGGAATTCCTGAATTCCCAGCTGTACTCCAGCCATTTGTCCAGCGCTCCAGGTCTTGTGCTGGCAGCGGGCAAGCCTGCGTGCCTCAGGAGAGGTGCAGAAAGTAACAGGAAGCTGTGGGACAGCCTGCCCCAAGGAAGGTCTCCTCCCAGTTCCCATTCCAGATACAAACTGTTTGTATTACTCCCAGATATTTTTGTAAAAAAAATAATGAGATATCTCATTTCAGAACTATCTCAAGCCATTTCCCACTTCTTCATGACATGTATAAATAGCAATAGACATGTTACGTAGTCCAGGTGATTGCTGCCTTTAGTAATGCATGTGAAAAAGCAGTCATTCATTAATTTCAGCGAAGCATATTCCAATGTCTGATGAATGAGCAGATGATTCTGTCCTAATTGCAAGTATTCCCGCTCAGGTTTTGTTTCAGGTTTGCAATGAGATTGTTGTAAGGGGAAAGTGAAATACAGATATGTTGGATAATATTTATGAAGTGTAGTAGGAAGAAAGCAGTCAGAGCCTTGTATGTTGCCGCCAGTGATCCCTCTAGGCAGCTCACCAAAAGACAAAAACAGCAGTAAGTGAACTTTGCCTTGCGACAAAAAGAATCACAACAACCAGGAACTTTCCTGGTGAGAAACCATAAAAGGGCTTGAATCACTGCATCTGACAGAAGATCCAAATGTTACACCATGCGGTAAGGGACAACCTATTCACTTACCAGTAAAGGTGGCACACAAATATTTAAGTGTTATTATTATTTAATTGTTCAAAAGGCCTCAAGTTTAGAAATGTGTTTTGATTACTTCAACTCTTGAACTACTATATTTTTTCATTTGATTCCATGAATGTTTTAAGAGGGAAAATGATGAAATAAATTAGCACATCAATTTGCAGTGCACGGGATTTTCTTGCACAGCCTGTCACATTTATACGCTTCTTGCACTGAAGCTTTCTAGCTGATATGCCTTATAAATACTGCTAGCTGGGCAGAAAAAAGCTTGTCTGAGCTTTGAATCAACAAGTACAGGCTTAAGTGTATGCATATGCAATAGTACCGCTGCTATCTGCTTCAATACAGACACTGGCTTAAGGCAGCTTTATACCATACATGCTTAAAAGAGGCCGTTTTAAAACAACTATAATTTTTTTAAATAGTAACATTAAAACCAACAATGTGTCTCTCAGCACTAATTAATTTTTTTTTGTTTATTATGTAACATGTTGTTAACCCCATAATTTGAGGTGGGGTAACTCAGGCACACAGGGATTACACAGCTTTTGCACAGGGAGTCTTCGGCAGG